TCTGGGACTGAACAGAAACCTAATTCACCCCAGATGTTGCCCCAAAGAAAATTCTGGAGCAATGCTGCCAGTCTTAGGATTTTTTAAGCACCATGGCCCAGACAAGGGTATGGGTACTCAGTCCAGAGTTCCCAACTCCTAATGTTGGAGACTTTTTTTTTTATCTATTATGCTAAGAAAAAGAAAATTACTGGATTCTGTAAAGTAAACTCCGAAGCCCACCTCCATTTATGAGGAAAACGGTGGGTATTGTGATATTATTTAGACACATGGTTCCAGGTCTTTCTGTCGTCAACATCTCAAAGAGAAATGTTGGTCTGCTGTCTTTGGAAAGCAGCATTCCCTTGTACTATAGGAAAGCTTACACAGCAGTTTCTTTTAAAAAATGATGTGTACATGCATGGCTTGGATTACTGGTCACCAGAATAGCCTTTAATAGAACAACACAATTAGGCAGCCTGTTTATTTCTGATAATACTGGTTTTTGTTTGGGTGCTTGCTTTTGTGTTTTGTTTCTGTTTTTTGGGTAGGGTCTCATGCAGCTCTGGCTGGTCTTGAACTTTCTATGTAGCTAAGGAAGATCTCAAACTCCTGATCCTCCTACCTTTGCCTTCCAAGTGCTGGGGTCGCAGGTGTGATCCACCTCGCTCAGCTTCTGATGACACTTTTGATACTGCAATCACACTCTTTGTTTCTTAGCTTTAGGTCTCAAAGGCCAATTCCTTGTTCTTCAGGGATGGACTCTTGCTATAGAATCAGTGTCCCAATCCCATGTAAATGCTTGATTTCAGGCTCTGGGAATGGAGAAAGTTCAACCATAGAACAGGACTGTCTACAGTAAGCAGAAATCAAGAAGGCTAAGTTTCATGCTGACCTATTTGTAGGTCCTTCCCCGCCCCCCTTTTTGCCATTTAGGCTCATGCGTCTCTTGGGGACTTGCTAGTCATCTTCTTGCCCTGTGAGGTCCATCGGGTGTGTGAGGTGGCTAGTCTACACAGTGGAGGTTTGTCTGATGTTGCAGAACAAGAACAAGGCGGGCCTCTGCAGGCACATTGTGCCTTAGAATGGTGATGGTCTCTCCAAAGGGAGACCATTTCCTGTTATGTCAGGTCATGCACAAAAACCAGTCTGTCTAGGCTCAGTTGGTATAACTACTCATAAAAATTGCCACTTAATAAGAATATCTCCAATATTTATTAAGGGAACGGTGTGAAAATAGTCATATGAAAGATAGCTTTGACCTTTGCAAAACTACTGTTAAAGACATTGTTCACTGAATATTAAATAATTGATCAGAAACGCATCCGTCCAACAGCCTTTTGAAAGGTGTCTCCTGACAGCCCAATGTGGCTCTCTGTTAAATGCTGGGATTTAACCATTTGTGGAATTCTCCCTCCTGGTTTGGCTACAAAGAAAATAACTAGGTTCCCTGCTTTGCAATTCTGTCAACCCCCTACCCCCAGTTTCCTGATCTGTATTCCTACCCCATCCTTCTGTGGTGGTCTGTGGAATGGTTGGTGACATATGAATTTCTGAGTTGGGATGCCAAACTCAGTGTGCCCATGTACTCACGTGCATTTTCTGGGGAAGGAGTGGGCCCCGATACACTCTTCCTTCTGGAACTGTAAGATGAAACAGACCCTTCCCTCCAGAAACTGCTCTTGACCAGTGTTGGATCACAACAGAATCCTAACTACAACAATAGCCAATAGCAAAAAAAAAAAAGACAACAAAAACCCAATGCAAACCAAACCAAACCAAGGAAATTTCTCTGTTTAGTCTAGGGACAACTTCGATGTAACATAGGTGCCTAGCATGCGTGTGTAAAGAAGCCCTGGGCTGGATCTATGCCCCGGAGAAAAAACATCACAAAGATAAATGCATCGACACATTGTGCTGCTAAGTACTCAGTCCATTATTAGAACTGACTTTGGGGCAGATGAGATGGCTCAGTGGGTAAAGGCACTCGAGCCCAAGACTGACACCTAGAGCCTGGATCTCGGGACCTGTGTGGTGGAGGGAGACTGTCTGCTCCTATAAGTTGTCATCTGAACTCTAATTCACACATCATGCACCCTCCATAAACAAATCTAATACCGTTTTAAAGTGATTCCATAGAGTGCCCCCTCCTGCCCCCTGAACAGTGGTTCTCAACCTGTGGGTTGTAAGCCCATTGGGAGTCAGATGACCTTTTCACAGGGGTCACATATCAGATATCCTGCATACCAGATATTTACATTACGATTCATAACCGTCGCAATGCAATAATGTTATGGTTGGGGTCACCACAACATGAGGAACTGTATTAAAGGGTCGCAGCATTGGGAAGACTGAGAAGCACTGCCCTAGAACTAAGGGCCTGATGGCAGTGACAGCGGAGGGCACATTTCTGTGTGAAAATAGAATCTGGTGGCTTTTCCCGTCTTATGTTTCTCTTAAGAAGGAACAATTTTGGCAAATCTGTCTGAGAGTACCCGATACAGCGTACTCTCTGAACACTGTAGGGAGAAGACAGCCGTGGACAATTCCTGGACCTCATGACACTGATACATATTGACCTCGGGCTTGAAAAGCTCCACTTTGGTGTGCATATTAATGTGGGATTTTAAAGACAACCCCACAGGACTTGCTCCGCTAATTTGGGAACTAGATAAGTCCAATAAAATGAAAATGTATGCAGAGAAGCAGCCTTGATGAGAAAGGGTCTCTGGAGACTCAATACTAACACCAAGCTACAGGAGCAGCCGGTATAGGACGCCCAGGACACTGTATCTTCCATCTGATTTTTCCAAAAGACCTTTTATGACCACGTCGTGAACTACGTGAGACACCAAGCCCACTCTCTGGGGAGTAGAAAGACCGAGTTGACAGATGTAGTTATTTGCCAGGAACAACCATGTGAATTTATAAATATTTTACAAGTACAGCTTCCAGAAGAATGACTTTTACTGCCATATTAATGCAACCTTGCAAATTTATAGCTTGGGCATTTGTGGGTTATGAATGTCCACTATTCCAGGCTAATACCAAGAACATGTTTTATGTTTTAAAATTCTTTTTCCTCCTCTGATCACAGACATCTTGGCTGTTGAGATTTGTGTAATAATTCAGCAGCACACGAGGTACAAGACTACATCAGTTTCCACTTGCAATGGCTAGACTCATAAATATACTCATTACAACATATTGCATGTGACAGAATCACCCACAAAGCATAAACATATTTCCAGGCAATAGGGGATTAGTAGTAGCTGGGGCACCAGTGACATTCTTTGTTGCTGGCCAGACCCATAATATGTGGCCAAAAATTACAATCGCATGCCACGATACAAAGAAAACTGAAGTGATGTGTTTAAGAAAAGGATATCTCAGTGTATACAGATCAGCATAGTTATGAGCAGCGTCATACACATCCAAGGCTGTGCTACTGAGAGTATTTTTCAGCTCTCCTTTAAAAACTTATTACACTTATTTATTTTATGTGCATGTGTGCTCCTGCACATGTGGGCCCATGGGTGGAGGCTAGAGGACAATTATCTGGCGTTGGCGCTCTTCTTCCACCATGCAGGTCCTGGGGGTGACACTCAGGTCATCAGCTTGGTGGGAAGCGTCCTTACTGGCTGACGCGCCATGCCAGCCTCCCTGAAAGACTTGAGTTACTATACTCATCTTTCAGCAGAAGCTCCTGGAGGGAGAAACACACTGCGACTCCTTCCTTGTGTATTTGAAAGCTGCCTTTCGCACTGGTGGTGCCCAAGCTGTCTTTCTAGTGTCGCACAGTTTGGAAGAAACAGCAGGTTCCTGGGGCTTGATAAAACAGTGCCTCAGAGATCTCAGAGTGGCCGGCCTTCCTTCACATGCCAGAGGGCTCCTCTCTTTCAACATGTTATGACCTGGGTAGAATCATCGACTGCAGATCAAAGTCAGCCGCTGTTCATCTTTTTCTCTCTTCTAGGTAGTTCTGTTATCAACACATCATTTAACTTCTCTAGTTTTTATTTTTATTTCCTCTTTTGAAAAATGTACAAGTTGTACTGTGCAGTGCAAATTCCTTTCCCATTAGGATGATTTTTTTCCTAGTGTGTGTGTATGCCAACATATTTAGGTATAGATAACATTATATTTTATAATATTTGTTTTATTTATTAGTAAGCATGGTTTTCTTTCCCTAAAAAAAATCAGGGGGTGTGGTATTTAGTGATGATTGTTAATTTGATAGTTCTGGAGTCACCTAGGAGACCAGCCTGTAGACACACTGTAAAGGATTGTCTTGACTAGGTTAATAGACGTGGAAAGATCCATCTTAACTGTGGGGGGATCATTCCCTGGGTGGGGATTCTGGGGGCTGTTTAAAGTGGGGGAAGCGGGGCCAGAACATGACTAAGCCGGGAGAAGCCTGACAACCTGAGTTCTTGGAGCTCATGTGAAAGGCTGGATGCAGTGGTGGGCATCTGTAAGCCTCGGGCTTCTCCAAAAGATGGGAGGCAGAGACAAAAGGATTGCCCAGAAGCTCAGAGGCCAGATGGCCTGGAATATATAATGTAGAAGGAAACGGCAATAAAGAACTTACTTCAAGCAGGTGGAAAGCAGGAACCAACTCCCTCCCTCCCCCCCTCTCTCCTCTCTTTCTCTCTCTCTTTTTTCACTCTCTCTCAAGGGTGTTGTCTCTCCTCCTCTCTCCATCTCACACAAGGTACACACACAAATGCACACACACACACACACACACACACACACACACACACACACAAATAAGATTTTAAGAAGTGAGACAGTGAGCTGAGCATTAGCATTCCTCACATCGTGTGCTTCTTTTAAAGATTCATTATTTTTACTTACGTGTGTCTTTGTGTGAGCTTATGCCACATGTGTGCAGGTGCCCATGGAAGCCAGAAGAGGGCGTTGGACCCCTGGGGCTGGAGTTATAGCCAGTTGTGAGCTGCCACAGTGGGGCAGGGATCAAACTGGTCCTCTAGAAGAACAGTCAGTGCTCCCAACGGCTGAGCCATCTCTCCAGACTCACTCTGTGCTTCTTGGCTGTGGATGCAGTGTGAACAGCAGCCTCAAGCTTCAGGGCTGTGGTCCCCTGCCCCTGCCCTCCAGGAGCCAAAGGAAACCCTTCCTTCCTTGGGTGCTGTTGTCAGAGAGTGTCTTATTACGGCAACAGGAAAGGAACTAAGCTGGGGCAACTCCTGCACCGCGTTACTCTGTGATACCCACCATTTCTCTCTTGGTGTTTGAAAGAATTCATGGGGCGTCTAACCTTATGTCATGGAGGCTTGTCTGTTCACACACCAAACTTGTTTTAGTGCAGCCAGGAAGGCTCTTCGGGATTACTGGAGCTAAACAGATAAATAAATAATCCTTGTTTATTCCAAGGCTTAATCCTACTGAGGCTCCCAAGCTGATTAATCACCCACCAGGCACCGAACAACCCATACTGACTGATCTTACACATTTTAATGAAATGGACTACACGCTGAAAAATGGCACACGTATACACACACACACACACACACACACACACGCACACGCACACGCACACGCACACGCACACGCACGCGCGCGTGCACACACACACATCCCACATAGTAATTATATGAGAGAATACTCTGTTAATAGCTCTAAAGACAGCCTTATTCTTAAGAATAAGATTCTGTCAAGAGTAAATCCTTCTGCATTCATTCGCTGCTAACCTGGAGGGCCGAAGCAGTCAAATGTTAGAGTTAGCCAGGAAAACCTCAGTTTTAAAGCTTATTGAATCAACTTCCTTTTTCTTATTATCTTAAACTGTAACAATTTTAAAAAGTCCCAACTAGTGTAATAGCCAGCCACAGTGCGGATGCTCTGAACATCTCTTGTTAGTTTACTTTCTTCCCTTCTTCTTTATGCTGAAGTTTCTTTATCACCCTGTTAATATAAAAGTAGAAATGGAAAATAACTAGCTGTTCATATTCTAATGCAGCCACTAAAATGACATCCTCATTTGCGGGCTCCATTTGCTTAATTTTGTGTCTTCCAACTATTAAGCCAAGGGTCACTCATTCTTCAAATTAATGGATGATATAAATTTAAAATAAGAAAAAAGCACAAGGAAAATAGTTTGTATCCAATGTATGGCCAACTTGTGGACTTTCCTATGGGAAAGCACAGATTTGGTGAACGGAGGAAGTAGGAAGTGTGATTTTATGAGCAGTCTATGACTGTAGTTATAGTATGAAGATAATAGTAATGGAATCTCCTGCTTCAGGACACAGCTGGTTCTCTGGGGAGCTTTAAAGAAATTCTTTCATTCCTCACGCTTCTCTGAGTAAGTGGCTGGATTCACATTGAGATTTTACATTTCTGAAACTGTTGACAACTTTGAACAGGATGGTGTCCTTAGGTCACTCTTTATTCTAGTGGGTAAGAATTTATTTGGGAGCATTTTGAAAAAGAGGTTCCCAGAATCATCAGGTTCTCCATCCAGTTGTGTACCATTCGATCCCAATATTCATGGGCTGGCAAGGACCAAGAGCAAGGAATGAAGGACATGGTGTAATCCCAGTACTCAGGAAGTTGAAGCAGGAGGATTATCAGTACAAGGTCAGCCTGGGCCACTCAGTGAAAACTAGCAATTCAGGGTCCTGCACGGAATCCTGGCTATTTGCTTTCTCTGCTCATGCAGTGGCTTGTTCCCAGGCATGCTGTCCTCTGGAGGACAGGAGGACAGGCCCCTGACCACTGGCTCCAGGAAGATGCTGACTCTGATATGGCCTCTTGCTCTGTCTGAAAGGTCCACTCACTGAGTATTTCTTCATCTTAGGGAGATGTGGCAAGGCAGGGGCTGCACCACGAAAGGTTGGGTGTCTTGGGAGAAGGGATAATTGACGTGATCAGGAGCAAGCTGCTCCATGTCTGGGAGACTCAGTTTCACCTTCCCAAGGTTCCAGACCCCCTTCCCCAGTCCTTCTCCTTGCCTAAATCACATTGCTTTTTATTTTCATTAAAAACAAAAATGAAAATCACACGTGTCTGATAATATATTACAACAACCACCACACACAATGATGCAGGATTTAATCTTCAATTCAAAGACTATTGAAAGTCTATCATTGTTCTTAGTCTTTGGGACACAACAATGAGAGCAAGACATCAAAAGTTCTTGCTTCCAGGACATTTTCCTCATTACTTTATGTATGCTAAAGTAATAGAATCTAGAGCAGGAGCCTGTGATTTGGAACTGGTTCAGGTGTGGATGATGCCCCTTAAATACAGCTTATCAGGCATAACTTCCCTGAACTCTCTGCCCTCGTACCCCAGGCTCCACATAGCATAGTGAGGTAAGGATACAATGACTGCAACACACTGTCATTCAGAGAAAGGAGACATGAAGCAGCTAGTGGCTGACAATTCTAAGGCCTTGTCCAGTATGATTGCCTGGCTTCCTCTACTCTCCACGTGTGGCACATCTCTTAATGAGGTGGGCCTGTCTAATGCAGGCTGATGGTCCTCTGAAGTTCTTCTAAGTGGAAAGGGGCTTTATTATTCTCTCTCCTACACCCTCTGTAATACCTCCTGTTCAATAAAAATAGCTTCTATGTAACTAAGTAGTTTAAAAATCCTGTGTGTGTGTGTGTGTGTACATATATGTTTGAATGTGGTATATATGCATATGTGTTCATTTACAGGTATCCTTGGAGGCCAGAGGAGTGTTGAGTCTCATCCTGTATCATTCTTCACCTTATTCCTTCAAGGCAGGGTCTATATTTGAACCTGAAACTTGTATTTTCCAGCGAGGCTGGTAGCCAGTAATACTCCAAGAATCCTCCTGTCTCCATGCTTCCTATTATCAAGCCCAGAGAGGACTCCTTTCTCTGCGCTCTACATGCTGGCATTGTAAGTGCAGACCCCCAGCTTATGACGTAGTTGCTGGGATACCCACTGACTCATCTCACGAGTTGTAACTCGGGAGTGCTCAGCACTCATACTTGAATGAAAGAATTTGCCATTGCTGTAGGTCTGAGGCATTGGGGTCCATGTTAATAGCACACATTCACCCAGAGCATCATCTGCTCCCCACAAGGTAGCTTTTTATTTTATTTTATTTATTTTTTTTAAGCTTACTTACAGCATGTAGAAAATTCAGGGCCCAAAGAAATCTTCTGATTTTGAACTCCTTTTGTTTTATGATAGTCTCATGTAGCCCAGGCTGGCCTTGAGCTCACTTAATATGTGGTGGAGGATGACCTTCTTTTTGTTTGTTTCATAGGTTTGTTTGTTACACAGGTCTCACAATGTAGCACTTGCTAGCCCAGAACTCAATTTAGACAAGACTGGCATCTGATAGCAATCCACCTGCCTTTTCCTCCTGAGTGTTAGGATTAAAAGTGTATGCTACCATGCCTCGTTTATCCTTGACCTTCTAATCCTCCTGTCTCAACCTTCCCGGGGCCTAGATTAGAGCCAAGCAACTGTCTGCTGGGTTTCTGCAGTGCTGGACTCCCAACCCTGAGTGTTGTGCATGTTAAGTGCACGCTCAACCAGTGGAGCCAGGCTGGTCCTTTCTTCTTGCTCAGCCCCAGCCAGCAGGGATTTATCGGTAGAACTCTCAGAATAAAATGAATGGTAGGTGTTCCCTAAAACTGCTTTGCCCGCCTTTGTTGTGAAGACCACCTCACCCCTCCTTCTGAGAAGGCTCTCTCACTGTTGGGCCGGTGTCAGGCTGCTGGGAAACACAGAGGGGTCTTTCTTCCAACCAACCCCACGATGTGGGTCTGCATTGTGAAGTCAGCTCCTTTTGAGACCGGCTAAATGGCCCAAGCGGCCAGAAAAAGGTTAAGTTTGCTTTCCCAGGTCTCAAAAGTCCTGGCTCCTTTTGAACGGTCTATGAATTCTGCAGGAAAATTACACGTTTGCCTTTAGCTCAATCCATTCTCTCTGTTGCTTCTTTCTTTATCTTCTACAAAAACAAAAACAAAAGCACCAACTTTTTCAAGATGTTGCTTGGAAATGCCCTTAGCTGATTTTATAAATTTATACTAAGTTTCCGTCTTTCAAATCATCACAGCCAACAGTCTGGGCACCGTTTCTCCATTTTTCTAGCTACCAAGGCAGTTTGTTACCAACTTCAGATGGTAACTTCTCAGTCTCCTTTCCAGTCTCTGTCATTTGTCTCCAAGCTGATGCTGTTAGTAGAATACCCCTTGTCTTAGTTACTTTTCTGTTGTTGTGACAAGACACCATGATCAAGGCAACTGATAAAAGAAAGCATTTCATTGGGAACTTGCTTTCAGCTTTTGAGGGTGAATCCATGACCCTCACAGCAGGAGGATTAGTGGCAGGCAAGCCTGGCACTGGAGCAGTAGCTGAGAGCTTACATCTGATTCCTAGTAGAAAGCAGAGAGGGAGAGTGAGGGGGAGGGAGGGAGGTAAGGAGGGAGGCAGGCAGAGAGAGAGAGAGAGAGAGAGAGAGAGAGAGAGAGAGAGGCAGAGAGAGAGAAAAGAAGAGGAGGAGGAGGGAGAGAAGGGAAGGAAGGAGACAGGCAGAGAGAGGGAGGGAGAGGGAATGGTCTGGTCTGGTCTGGTCTTTTTGAAACCTTGAAGCTCACCTCCAGTGACACACCTCCTTCAACTAAGTCACACCTCCTAATCCTTACTAAACAGTCCACCAAGCGGCACCAGACATTCAAGTATATGAGTCTATGGGGCTATTCTCACTCAAACCTTCACATTCCTGATCATGCCTTCTGTGTCAGGTAGTGCTTCCTGAATAACACACTGCCCAAAACCGTGCGGATTATGAAAATATTTCTTCTCATGGGTTTTGGAGAACCTGTGGCTTTTTTGTTCTCCTAAAAATATGCTTGACTAAAGCTAGATTATCTAGGATGACTCCACCCACATGCAGTGAGTGTTTTCTGGCTGATGGAACAATCGCTGTGTGTCTGCCCTCACCCGCAGCCAAGCCCAGGTCCATTCACATGTTACAAAGTCACAGTGTGCAGAGGGTACTTCAGGACTCTGCGGGCCACCCTCTGCAATCTACTGCCAACCTTTCCCCTCACTTCCGTTTATTCCATCCTCTTGACTGTACCACTGAGGAGAACTGGCTTCATTAGCCATGTGATCGCTTCCCTCACTAGTTCTGACTTGATTTCTCATCATGTTACCTGATCAAGACTTTGAAGATTTACCAATACTGTGCATTTGGCCCAGGAGTTATTCAGGGTTTCATTAAACTTACTTTGTTAGCTCTTATGGGTAAGTTTAATTCTTCCTAGCTTGTATTTGAGAATTGTATACAAAAAAATGATTAGCAACTAGTCCCATGCTGAGTTAAAGCTGTCATTTTTTGGGGGAG